TCCAAAATGCTTTTGTCTTCAGTGGAGTTCCATATAACATATGGGCCTTACTATCCCTTAACCTCCATCTCTCTCTCTCTTTTGATGAGTAGAAAGTCTTAAAGGACATCTTGCTAGCAGAAACCTTTGCATTTGTACATTGTTATCAATCTATTAGTCATACTTGGATATTTTTTAAACTTAGGAGTGGACTTTGCTCATGTGGCATTTTTTGATCCTTTTAAAGTATTTGTATATTTATTGTTTTCAGTTTTAAATATCGTCTGTTAATGATTTTAGCCAACTAGGGTCCTTTTTAAGGAAAAGTGTGGTGATTTTTAAAGAATAAAATAAAAAAAATGGGGCCATGGAAAGAAACTTCTGTTAATGATTTTAGCCAACTAGGGTCCTTTTTAAGGAAAAGTGTGGTGATTTTTAAAGAATAAAATAAAAAAAATGGGGCCATGGAAAGAAATAGGGTCCCTTTTAAGGAAAAGTGTGGTAATTTTTAAAGAATAAAAAAAATGGGGCCATGGAAAGAAAGATACTGGCTCTACAGTTTGGAAGGCTCTTGTTCCGGGAAAAGGACTCCAACAGCTGGGCTGAATGCCAGAGCCCATACCTAGTTCCTCTGGGGATCTACACCCTATCCCTTCCTACGCAAATATCCTCCTGTACCTCTGTAAGTAAGTGTGTTGGTCTCCACTCATTCAGTTCTCATGACAGAATCCTCTCCAGAGTGTGGTAAAGTTTTATTTTATGGTGACAATCCCCAGAATCTCCTGGCTATGCTGGCTTAGGGATTTTGGGAGCTCTAGTCCCAAAAAAACCCAGTCTTTTCATATTTGATTCCTAATTTGTGGCTTTCTGTAGCTTTGTGTAAAATCACTCTTGATAGCCATGCACTGTTCATATGAAATTCATATATTTGTATATTTTTCTGATATATGTTCTAAAAGTAAAAAAGTAATGAGAAGACTACCAGAAAAGGGTAATATGAGAATGCTGAAGTAAATAGGACAAAAACGGAACTGCTTCCTTTAAGGATGTGGGAAATATCAGTTGTCCAACTATGTACATTCTCAGGTTTAAAGCTGTTTGTGTGTTGGGTGGGCACAGTCTGAGTTTAATTTTTTTTCATTCCAGACTACAAAGGAATGGATGTGGATATGGAAATAAAAGACAGCTGGCGGTAGGTTTCTGAGTCCCCATGCCCAACAAAAACCCATAGCCAGTTCCTGAGTATACTATACTTCTTTTGTTAGGTACCTGATGCTGGTGGTGAACGTCATGAAGGCATCAAAAGCAAAGCTGAATTCTGAAATTACTTTGTATTACTATAGAAGTTCAGAGGAAAACGTCAAAGCCTTCCTAAGTGGAAGATTTTTTTTTTAAAAAAACTTTACACATCTATAAAGGACTTTTTAGAATAAAAAAGAAAAAAAGAAAGGTAGTTCCTGCCTGAAAAGGCTGCAGGGGTGGGGGTGGGGGGGAGGAGGTCTGTCTGTTTGCTACTTATCTGAGAAAAGGAAGTGAATGAATAAGCCCCACATGCATGAATGGCTAAGAGCAGAGGCCCAGCAGTAATTGGCTCTATTGAGTTTATTCTGATTAGCTGGTTTTGGCTACACTGCTTTGTCAGATCCGTGCTGAGTTCAGATGGGAAGGTGGTGGGGGTCATTTTTAGCAAGCTCCATAGAAGAATGTCTCTGATTGACCTTTAGATCACCTGTGAAGAAACAGCAAACACAGGTTTTGAAAGATGTGAACTTCTCAGCAGGTTTCGGAAAACCCTCACTGATATTCCTAATACCTTGTTGTCTAGAGGTAGAAGAAGGTGAAAAGAATCCTGTGAAGAACAAAGAGAGAGAGAGAGTGACATTTTAATGCAGAGGTGGGCAGAAAGTGGGACTCTCCAGGAGCTGTTTCATCTTAGCACAATGTGATAAGATGTCAGGCTGATTCACACACACCCCCCCCAATGAATTCATCATCCTTGCTCATAACCCAGCAGCTGAGAACAGTGAAGTTACATTTTTGTACTCCAGTGCTAAAGAATCCAAAAAGGTAGTCCCTATGGCTATGGGACTGTAATCCAATTCCACATCCAGCCCCAAAGATTCTGGGAATTGCAACATTTTAAAAATCAACTTTGCCCATCCAGATTGAAGAATGTGTCACTTGATGACTCATAGTAATTGTTTCTTACTTGGTTTTGGTCATTGGAACAAGGCTCAAGCTGATGAACATCCTGGTGGATGTTGCATCTCTTGCTGATCAGGGGTCTACTTTGGCAGACAAGATTATGTCTCTGTTTGGACCTTGGGTTCAAGACAAATGTTGCCCTCGGTCCAAGCCTCCATAGCTCCTGGTCTGTCTTAATGCCTCCCACTTACTCCCTCCCTTGCCCCCACCTTCTGGACCAGAAAAGGAGAACATCCAGTGAAAACAAGGTCAAGGAGGTAGCTGCAATATGGACATAGCTTCACCTGCGAGTTTGCCCCCTGTTGAGTCAGAGGTGTGGGTGGGTGGTGAGTGTGTGTGTGTGCACACAACATGTGACATTCAAGATATTCTTGAGCTGCAACTCCCAGTCTCTCACTTCTGTCAACACTGCTGCAGGTTGCAGTCTAGCAACATCTGGAGGAGCAGAATCTGCCCAACCCTGGAGCAGTGGCTAATGGAGAGGAACAGCAGGGCATCAGCCAGTGGCAAGATGAAACAGAGGTCACTGTGAGAAAGGGCTCTGCAGGGGTGGGTGGGTGACGTGTCCTGGAATCAGTATTGACATGAGGTAGGATAAAGAGCATTTTAGGTTATCCTAAGACATGAGTCGAGAAGTTTCTAGCCCTCCATATGCTGCCGGACTGTAGCTCCCATTGTCTTTTCCCTTTGGCCATGCTGGCCGAGGCTTTGGGGAGTTGAAATACAAACCATCTGGAGGACTAAGTTCCCCATCTTTGATATAGAGAGTGAATGCTTCTGCTATTCCATTCCACACCACTCCTATTGCATTTATGACCTTTAGAAAGAAAAAAAAAGGGGGGGGGAATAAAAAAGCATTTTTAGAGTATTCATTTAGAAATCACATGTAACTTGTTCTATCCAAAATAGGAAAAGGAGTTAATTTAAAAAACTACACAAACTGCGGCTTCTCTGATCAAGTATTTCCTGGGCATTATGAAAGAATGTACTGCTTGCCAAGGAATAAATTCATAAGAATGTAGAGTCGGGGTGGGGGTGGGGAAGACTGCATCCTGCTGATCTCAGATTTAGGAGGAATAATAAAAGGGCAGAGGCTAAAGCATCTGGGACATTTAAGTTAAGGAAAACATGGCTAAATGGGGAAGCCATTTAGATAGAAATGTTTAAAATTATGCATGATGCAGAGGGAAAGGAGAAAAAAAATGTTTTCCCCCTCCTTTTAAAAGAAAGTTTAGACTTCAGAGACTAGAAATAATGAATTCAACAAAACAAAAATAGTGTCTGGGATCTATCATAACAGGATGTAATGATGATGACCACAGGATTTAATGGGTGTTAAGACAATCATGGAGAAAAGCGATGATTATTGGTCACAAAGACTGTTGTTAACACTCCATATTCATGTACCTCATGCTTTTGCATATCAGCTGCTATGAGGCAAACAGAAGGAGAGAAGGCCCGGTTTATGGGCTCCTCAGAAACACATGAAATACTCAGTGTGGTGTAGTGGACACAGTGAGAAGACTGTTGTTAACATTCCATATTCATGTAGTACCTCATGCTTTTGCATATCAGCTGCTGTGAGGCAAACAGAAGGAGAGAAGACCCGGTTTATGGGCTCCTCAGAAACAGATGAAATACTCAGTGTGGTGTAGTGGACAGAGTAATGGAGTAGGATTCAGGAGACCTGGATTCGAATCCTGCTTGGCCATAGAAACCCACCAGGAAGTTGTAACACCTCTCCTTCAATAACTCACCTACCTTGAAAGCCCTATTAGGGTCACTGTCAGTCAGTCCTGACTTACTGGCACATAAAACTCAGGGAAGTGCTTGGCTAGCCCTTGGTAGGAAGAGCAGGATGGGCTAGAAGGCCTTTGTTCTAACCCAGCAGGGGTCTTTTATATACTTCTCTGAGCTCCTACAGAGTCCTGCAAAATGTGATTGTGTGACCACATGTGACTCCCAAGGCTGGTTTAGCAGCCTCCAAGCCTTCCACAAGGATGCCCATATGCTCTACCAGCGAACTTGGGTCTCTCCCAGCACGTTTTCCTTACTTCTGAACCATCTCTGTTCCATTTTGCATCAGTTCTTGCTTTTTTAAAAAAGTGCCAGAGCACACAAATGGCACTTTTTGGTCTTTTGGTTTCCCTGTCCTTTGTTCCTTGTACTCTTCATTTCTCCGTGACTGGGAGGCTGCGAGCCAGATTTAGCTTTTTCGATTTTCATTCAGCATTTTTAAGCCCTGCAGAAAATAACGAGAAGGGGATGAAACACATCACGCCTCTAGCAATTAGCTCCCTGGCCACTTTTTCTGTTATTCCAGCTCTTCTTATCTTCTCAACTGTATAAGCAATCCATGGCTAAAAAGAAAAAGCAAAAAGCAACGCTTGCCCATCCCAGTCTTTTGACTCCAGAAGTTTTAAGACTGATGTAGATAAAAGCTTGGAAAAAAGTTATTTTTTGGACAACTCTCAGAATTCCCCTCAAGTGGGGAAAGCTTGGGACTACAGGCCCCAGTATCCCCCGAACAGCCCTTGAGGGAGACCCTTGTAGTAACTTAGACCCACATAGTAACTTTTCTGACGCGCTGGTGAGGAGACGACCGCATCGCCCTCCCCGCCTACGACCATTCCCGGTTCCTCCGAGCGGGTTGACAGCCGACCTTCTCCCGTCTCTTGTTACTGCCCTGCCCTTTTCTTCGAGAAGCGGCTCCCATTGGCCAGCCCCGGAGCCAGGGGTGCGCCTTAGACCCCAGTCGCTGGCCAATCGGAGGCTGCCGTTCCGCAGGGCTCCTGTTTCATCAACTTAGCCTCAAGTTTTGGTGTCGGCGAGAGGGGTTTTATCCCCCGCCTGGAGTTACTCGGGGAAGGTGAGTATCCCGCCTGGAGCGCGCGTCCTCCCTGCCCTTCCCATCCCATCCCTCCATCATGCCGCAGAACCTGCTGCCGGTGCTGCTGACCCTGCTGTGCCTCCGGCTGCCGCTCCGTCCGGCCCGGGGCTGCCAGCTGCCCTCGGACTGGAGACCCCTGAGCGAAAGCTGCCGGGCGGAGCTGGCAGAAATCATCGTCTATGCCAAAGTCTTAGCCTTGCACCAGGACATGTACAGCATGTACAACTACCTGCCCTGGCAGTACGAAGCCACCGACGGGGGCCTCTTCTACTCCGCCGAGATCGAGATGCTGTGTGACCAGGCTTGGGGCAGCATGCTGGAGGTGCCCGCGGGCTCCCGGCTCAACTTGACGGGACTGGGGTATTTCTCCTGCCACTCTCACACCGTCATGCAGGATTACTCCTACTTCTTCTTCCTCAGGTGAGTACCTCTTGCAAACGCTGGTTTTCATTTTTTTTTTTGTTCGCTCGTTCACTAGTGACACACTCTTTTCAGCAGCAAAACAACAACAACCGGCAAGAAGCCATGTGAGACCTTGAAGTCTTGGAGGTTTTCATGGGCATAAGTTTTTGTGTACTGCAGCCCGTTTTTGTGTTATGCGCTGTCCAGTGGCTTCCAACCACGGTGACCTAATAGGTCCTGGGGTGAGATTCGAACCAGGTCTCCTGAGTCTAATCCAGTGGTCTGTTCCCGATACCACGTGAGTTATATTTACCTATCTAAGAAATACACACACACACACACAGCATTTTATGTACTATTTAATCAATTAAAAATAATAATTTTTCCAGATGCTGCGGTCACTTCACTGGGAGAAAGGTGGCATAAGAATGAAAATAAATGAATAAAATAAATAAATTTACATAGCACTAAAAAAAAAACCCAAAACACCCTGCTGTGTCTAAGCAGTCTTTGAAACAGGGATAGCCAGTATGAGGTACATTCACCCTCTGTTCATGCCTCTTCAGTTTTCCTTCCTTCCCTCCCTCTAGTGCAGGGAGGGGCAAAAGTGCATCCTTCCAGATGCTGCTGGAGTTGTGGCAGCCTGCATCTTCCTTCACCTTTGGGTGTGCTGGCCAGGTCCAATGGGAGTTGCAGTCCAACAACATGTGGAGGGGCACATGTATGCCTCTTCTTTACAGCAGCTTTGGTAGGCAGGCCAGAATTGTTATTTTAGCAGTGGAGATGGGAGGATGAGAAACAGTGGTTTGTCCGTTGAGTTCATGGCAGGGGTGAGACTGAATAAACATACAGATTGAGACTGAGAGCGAGAGCTATGGATGTATCATGCCAGGTCAGTGAGATGGTAGATTTCTGGAGTGTACCACTTCAAGCTGCATATAGAGTACAGGGAGATGTTGCAGTTTTAAAATATTCCCAGACGTAGCAGAAAGTAAGATGCCACAGAGAGGCTTGCTTTTCTCCCTGATGTGCAAGTACACGTGATCAAGTCTTTTTTTTCACATAATGGGAGAAGTTTAAAAAAATATAGGAAGACATGGACATACCATTTGACACACTACATACATTTGTAGTGATACAGACCACAATTCTGTCACAACATTCTGTGCAGTGTGTAAAATAGTTTTTAAGTCTAGTGTAGTAGAAATTCATGGGCCTTGGTGATGGCAATTTCAGTTCAAATTACCACTCAGCCGTGAAACTGCTCTTGGCATGCATGCATGCATTCATCTGTTTATCTGTCTGTCTGTCAATCTATCTAATTACTTTTTTTCTTAAGAGACTCAAGCCCTCTACTTTGGTCTAAACAACATCCCTGTGAAATAGGTTAGGTTGAGAGTTACTTGCTCAAGGTTGTTCCATAAACTTTACAGCCGAATTGTGATTTTAGTATGGGTCCAGCAGCAACTACCTTACACAGACGATCTCAGCCTAACCCACCTCCCAGTATTGTTTAGAAAATTAACTGGTAACTGAACTTCTTGGAGAAAAGATTGTAGGATAGGTGATTCACAACCACTCACTGTTTTGCTGTCAACAGGGGGTTCTGTATCTATCTTGCCTAAATGAATAGTCATAATAGATCAAATTCAGGTGCCAATAAAAATTGACAGCAGAGCAAGTCAATGAAAGCCACTTGATCTTGTCTGATTGTGCACAAAGGGTACATATCTCTGGACATGTGCAAACAATGTCATCTGTGATAGCTTTAAATTATTACTATGCCAACATTACAACTGTGTGGAATAGAGACCTTTTGCTCCTCTAGCTGTTTTGAGCTCCAGTTTCCAGATGTTTAGCCAGGAAAGGCCAGTGGCTAAGGATTATGGAATGTGTAGTCCAATATATTGGGAGGGCCAATACACTCCACCTTTGATGTGCAAAAAAATCATTGTTTCCTTTCACCTGCTGAGCTGAAACTGCCTAAACTCTCTCTTCTAGGCAGTTCTTATAGGATCTCTGTCTATTTTGGAGCGAGCTGCCTGAACCCAGCCTCTGGCTCCACCGCCAGAGATCTAAACCAGTGTTCCCCAACCTTGGGCCTCCAGATGTTCTTGGACTACAACTCCCAGAAACCTTCACCACCACCTCTGCTGGCTAGGATTTCTGGGAGTTGAAGTCCAAGAACATCTGGAGGCCCAAGGATGGGGACCACTGATCTAAACCACTGGTTCTTAACCTTTGTTACTCAGATGTTTTTGGACTGCAACTCCCAGAAGACTTCACCATCAGCTCTGCTGGCTGGGGTTTCTGGGAGTTGCAGTTCAAAAACACCTGAGTAACAAAGTTTAAGAACCACTGATCTAAACCACTAAGCTACCCGGCTAGTTGCCTGCAGTGAAAGAAGGAGATAGCAAATGAATATTATAGATCAACAATTTTATCCTTTGTTCTTTTCCATTTGCCTGTCCATGGAATTCTGTATTTAATAATATAATCTTATACATGTAAGAAGTAGGCCCAGCTCAGTTCAGCAGAGCCTTTTCTCAGATGAATGAATATAGAATTGCAGTCTTAGGTGTGCTGGAAACATGATTTAGCAACATTAATATCTTGTCTTAGACATGTTTTGAGATAAATGTGTTTTAATTATAATTTCCAACATTAAACATTAGAGGGTTTTTTCTAAGAGAAATTGAATGTCAGTTGTTCAGTCATGCAGCCACCAGTGTTTTAGGAAGTTTGAAATATACCATTGGACTGCCAGATACACAAGTCCTCCGTGTAATACAGGAAAACATATGCAAAACAGAGCAAAGAGATAGAACTTACATGAATAAAAATGTGCAAGTGCTTGAATTTCACAGATGTTTTCTTCACAAACTGAGGAGGGGAAAAAAAAGACTCCTGTGACTTTTTTCTAACACACACAACCTGCATGGTTGTCAGTTTGCATTTCACATAAATAACTTCACCCGTTGTTAATTTTCATGTCTCATATGTAACTTCTACCAGCCACTACCTGACAAGGATCAACAGGCAGTAAGTCTGAACCAGAGGTGCTCTACTGCCATATCAGCCGCATCCTGATCCCTCTTCCTTCCCCAGTCATATCCTAAAATGAGTAGGGAACTTGCAGCCTTCCAAATATTATCAGACTCTAGTCCCTATCTGGCTAGATAGCTCAATGGATTAGGTATCTTGCTGCGGAACCGGAGGGTGGAAGTTTGATTCCCCCCCCCCACTGTACCTCCTGCAAATAGAGCCAGCCTGTGTGGCCTTGGGCAAACTGCACAGACCCAGTGGAAAGGAATGGTGGGGGTAGAACATGCCCATGTAGGAGAAGAGAGGTTAGATATTTTACATCTATCCCCTCTTCTAGTCCTACCACCAACCAGATGGTATCAGGTGACCATATCAGCAAACCCTCAAGCCACCTGGTGCTGTTGATGAATGCCAGGTCAGTACAAAATAAGTCTGCCCTCATCCATGATGTTATTCTGGATGGGGTTGCTGACCTGGCATGTATTAATGAGAGCTGGGTGGGAGAGGAGGGTGGTGTTCCCCTCTCCTAGCTGGGTCTGCCTGGTTACTCGATCCAACACCAATGTCCCTCAGAGGGTTGGGGAGGGGACGTTGCTATAGTCTATAGGAGTTCTCCTTGACCAGGCTTCCTATCCCTTTGAGAGAGGGCTTGAGGGCTTGTATTGTGTGTTGGGCTTATAAAACAGATTGGGGATTCTGTTGGTGTACTGCCCACCCTGCTGTGTACCAACTGTCTCCCTGCCTGAGCTGACAGAGGTAGTCTTGGACCTGGTGTTGAGGACTCCCAGGCTGTTGGTGCTGGGGGAACTCAACATCCATGCCAAGGCTGTCTTGACTGCGGTGGCTCAGGACTTCATGGCCACCATGACAAGCATGGAGCTATCTCAATGTGTCATTGGCCGAACACATGAGAAGACCCATACTTTGGACCTGGTTTTCTCTACAGAATAGGAGGATGGTGGTTTGGATGTGGAGGGGCTGGTTGTGACCCCATTGTCAAGGTCAGACCACTTCCTGGTCAAGTTTACTGTAGTCTATTAGTTTCTTCTCTCCTCTGCAAGGGTGGGAGATTTATTAAGATGATCCACCCTCGGAAATTAATGGATCTGGATGCTGAATGCTCTGGGGGATTATCTGTCTGATGCCCTCGGAAATTAATGGATCTGGATGGTTTCCTGAATGCTCTGGGGGATTATCTGTCTGATATGGTCAGTGCTCCTGTCGAAGCTCAGGTCACCCTAAGGAATAGGAAGATGACCCGAGTGGTTGACATGATGGCACCTAAGCACCCTCTCCCTGCATGCAGAACTCTGACAGCTCCTTGGTATACTTCTGAACTGTGGGTGATGAAGCGAGAGGGGAGATGGCTGGAGCACAGGAGGAAATCCCACAGAGAGTCCAATCGAACATGACTTAGAGCCCATTGTTGGGCCTATTTTGTGGCAGTACAGCTGGTGAAGCGGCAATATTTTGCCATCCATATTGCTTCCTCAAAATGTCATCCAGCAGAGCTGTTTTGGATGGTCCTGGATCTTCTTCAATCAGGAAATCCAGTGGAGGTCCTAGACCACTCATCAGCTTGCTGTGATGAGTTTGCCTTTCACTTTGAGGGGAAAATTGCTCAGATTCACAGTGGGTTGGGATCCATCATTAGTGGAGTGGGTTGGACTCCACCATTAGCAGAATCAGAGGCTGTGTCCAGTGTGTTGTGCTTAGGTTATTAATGGATGAATTTCATTTGTTGAGACATGAGGATGTGGACGGGGTACTTGGATCTGTCCATTCTACCAGTTCAGTAGACCCTTGCTCATCTTGGCTAATTGGAAGATCTGCCAGGGGGGTTAGCACCTGGGTCCAGGACACCACTCCCTCCCTACTGCCTTGAAAGAGGCAGAGATTCCTAAAAAAGCCTAACCTGGACCCAGGGCTGGTGGTTAACTACCGACCAGTGGCGAACCTCCCTTATTTGGGCAAGGTGTTGGAGTAGGTTGTGGCCGGGCAACTCCAGGCGCTGCTGGATGAAATGGATTTTCTGGATCCATTTCAATCGGGTTTCAAGCCGGCTTTGGTACTAAGACTGCCTTGGTCACCCTGGACGATGATCTTTGCCAAGAGAGAGACTTGGGGAGTGTGGCCCTGTTGATACTCCTGGACCTCTCAGCAGCTTTCGACAACATCGACCATGGTGTCCTTCTGGATAGGCTGGTTGGGTTGGGAGTCGGGGGCACCACTTTACGGTGGTTCCGCTCCTTCCTGGCTGACCATGTCAAGAGGGTGGTGCTGGGGGACAGTTGCTCTGCCCCATGGCGGTTATGTCATGGGGTTCCTCAGGGCTCGATACTGTCCCCCATGCTGTTTAACATCTACACGAAACCGAAAGAGAGACATGGGGAATGTGGCCCTGTTGATACTCCTGGACCTCTCAGCAGCTTTCGACACCATCGACCATGGTGTCCTTCTGGAAAGGCTGGCTGGGTTGGGAGTCAGGGGCACCGCTTCACAGTGGTTCCGTTCCTTCCTGGCTGACCATGTCAAGAGGGTGGTGCTGGGGGACAGTTGCTCTGCCCCATGGCGGTTATGTCATGGGGTTCCTCAGGGCTCGATACTGTCCCCCATGCTGTTTAACATCTACACGAAACCGCTGGGAGAGGTCATCAGGAGGTTGCGGCTGAGGAGTCAGCAATATGCTGACGACACTGAGCTCTATGTACCTCTTATTTTCCACCGATCCAGGTGAGGCGGTTTCTGTGCTGAACTCATGTCTGGACCTGATAATGGACTGGATGAGGGTTAATAAACTGAAACTCAGTCCAGACAAGACAGAAGTGCTGTTAGTGGATGCTTTGCCGAACAGGCTGGAGGGCCATTTCCCTGCCCTGAATGGGGTTACACTCCCCCTAAGGGACAGGGTCCACAGCCTGGGGGTGGTCCTGGACCCCAGTCTAACACTGGAAGCCCAAGTGGACTCAGCGGTCAGGGGCGCCTTCCTTCAGCTGCATAAATTATACGAGCTACGACCCTACCCGGATGAGTAGAGTTTCATGACAGTTACGCATGCACTGATAACATCCCATATAGATTACTGCAATGTGCTGTACGTGGAGTTGCCTTTGGAGGCAGTCCGATGACTGCAACTGGTTCAGAATCAAGCTGCATGGCTTATGAGAGGTGCCACCACTAGGGGACACATCAGGCAGACTGATTCTTCTCCAAGGAGAAGAACCAGCCCTATTGGCTGGGCCTAATTCAAAGTGCTTGTTTTGACGTATGCATAAAGCCCTAAATGGCTTGGGCCCTGGATACCTGAAGGACCGCTTCCTTCTATATGAACCTTCCCGGCAGTTAAGAGCTAAGCAGGGGGCCCTCCTGAAAGAGCCACCCCTCAAGGAGGTAAGAGGGAGGGCTTGTAGACAAAGGGCCTTTTCGGCAGCCGCCCGTAGACTATGGAATGCCCTCCTGAGGGAGAT